AAAGGTTCTTTTTGTTATTCCCATTTGCCCCGAAAATAATTTTGGGGGGGGGGGGGGGGGGGGGGGAGCTGGGCGGAGAAGGTTTGATGCAAAATATGCGTGGCCGAGGAGACGTCTATGTGCTGCCTTTGGGCACAGATGCTCGCGAAATTGTTAACGAATGGCAGTGAAATGAAAGGACAGTTCTACGTTCCATAGGAGACAATTCTAAGGATAGATTCTTCTACATACTATGTCATCACGCTGCTTAGACATCATGTCTAAGCAGCGTGATGTACATGATGTACCCACATGGCCATATACACGAGCCATACAGCGATGGTGGTCGCCGGCTGGACAGCGGGCAAGAAATGCGTTACATGGGGGGACGCCCATTAGTGCCGCTTTCACTTATGCGACCCTCCCACTAGTGCAGGCCAGACGGACGAACACGAAAAGTTTCACGTGTCACCCGGGTCCGGGTGTTATGCTGCCGTCCGTCCGTCGCGCGTGAAAACAAGTGAAAACGGCTTCTAAGCCGGATCCTATTCACCGAACAGCGTTCACATACCTTAGCTACACACAGACCTTAACTACAACGCAATCAAGTGATGAAGATGGGAGCGCAGAGGACGTGAGAGAGAGAAGGTCTGTACCCTCTGTTGTTGAGATCGCGGAATTGTTTGGAGAGCTGGAAGTTTTGGCGACTGAATGCCAAGTTTCAGGCGCTCTATCGTATCTGAGGTCGACAAAGCGCGCGTCTCTCACTGCAAAACACGACAGAGAACCAACGCGGAGCAGGCAGACGTTAATTACAGGGTACCGAGTGCATGGAAATAGATGTGACAACGTCACCTACTAATGCCATCTCCCAATAGTGCATGTTTTTGGGGCCTCGCACGGGGCGGCAATAATGGGTAGGGTTCCCTGTACTCTGGAAATCAGAAATCGCAATGAAATACGAAGAGCGGCCCTATCGGTTTGGCAAAATTTGGTGGCTAATGCCAGCATTTTCGATGGAAAATTCAGATCAGCACATGACTCATTCTTGCGCATTTAGCTATGCCATTTTTTTTTGCGTAAACCCTCTAATAGATTGGGTTTTTGTGGTAGAGTGACGTTCGAGGTTTCCGAATGAAAAAATCCCGATCGATTTCATTTCAGACTAAAGGTAGAGATGCTCTTAGAAATTTGACCACGGGCGCTTCCTGAAACTATTTTTGTATACTGTAGGCTTGCTTGCCTCACATGTAATACTGTATTGAGGCTATGAAATAGCCAGCGAATATTAAATTTGTGCCACGCGTTATTGTTTATACTTTCTTCCCCGTCTGCGACATTATTCCAGCAACCATGCGAAAAAAAGCACTCTATCCCCAGCAAATGTTGGCAATCACCCAGTCTTGCTGCGACAAATGTGTCGCGTTGGAATTGCAGAACAGCAGCAAAGAACAAAGAATGCGGCGCATACATTGCTGCTTGGAATCTTACACTAGCTGATAGCAAGCCCATTGCCCCTGTGATGTATTTTATCAATTGGATGGACGAGCTCATTCATCTACAATACAGAAAGAACCTCTTTCATAATTCCCAAAGTCGAAACGAGAGAAAGGAAGGAAATACCAGCAGCATGAAAGAAGTCGCGATACACATAAATTGTCAGCCAATGATTCTGCTAGAGCTCTCTATTGAAACCAAGTCACGCGACCATGCGTGTGAAGAATACAGTCAGCAGCAATGACTGTAGACGTCGCATTGACTCAAAGCTTTCCACGTTCCCAACCTCTTACAGTACCACAATGCCACAATGTCTTCAATGTGCAGCACCTTGCACGCATCACTAATTGATGAGCAAGTCACGTGAGCGAAAGAAACTGTTAAGCATTGCGCTCGCCTCGCTCAACAAACGGCGTCACCATGACGGTTTCTTACCCCCCCCCCCCCCCCCCCCCCGAGTGTGCTTTATCATGTCCATTTAGCCTGTGCATCTGATACACCATGGGTAGGATCTGTCCTCAAGAACTACTTTGAATTATGTGTCTCCCCTTCTTATTTTTTGTTCCTCATCCGCGCATGCTCTATTTTTGTACCAAACCCGCTGTGCTTCCCTGTTTCATTAGCATATTTAGTAGAGTCACACAGTCTCAATTGCCGACACTGGTCGACAGGGAACGTCGCTCCGAAATTCGCGTAAGTCGTGTAAGTCTTGAAATTCAATATAAATGAAACTTCGCCTTCTCAGCTGGTCCAAGCCCTTCTTCTCTCCTTGCATAACTTCTTCACAGTCTGCGCTACATCAATAAAAGTTGAGTGCACTTTTACCGTCCACAGCTATTTAACCTCGCCATATCGTGTACCTCTTTCTTCGTGCGCTCGAGACGGTATGCTCACAGAAAACCCATTCACCCTATTACCAGTCAGTGTTTCGACATGGAACATCCTCAAGTTTCTGCTCCTCGCCCTTGTCCTGGATATCCTAATCGCAGGGAGACTTCGCAACTTCTGGGCCAAATACAATGGGTTTCGTGCGACGAACGCAAAGAGAATCAGACTCGCGTCTGCCATGGGAACGAGGTTGGGGCCAACACAGGAAATCGATGGCAACAGCAAAGCGAGCAGAGCAGCTGCTTTTCTCATCACTGCAACTATCTTGACAGCATCTCTGCTGGTCGAATATGGTAGCAGTGAGGGAATGTCCGGAAGCAAAAGTCAATGCATCGCAGAGACACTGCATTCCTCTAAGCATCATTCAAGGCTCATGGTGGATCTACACGAGATGAGGTACAGGCATCGCGGTACCAACGCCGTCAGCTTGGGAGGTACAGTGACAGAGATTTTCGACATTCCAGTCGCTCCTGAAGGCGGAGCGCAAGGAAGGCCCGAAAGAATTTTGGCGACAAGGCAGAAGTTCATCGCCGAGTGCCCAGATGTTGATTTCGCAGTGGTTTACTTCAAGCAATGGGGAACAGAGGAGCAAGTACAAGTAGTGCGAGGAAGGAATAGAGACATAATACTGCAGAGACATAACACAATCGGCGGGGAAGATCAATGGGTGCATATTCGTAAGCTTCCGTTCGTCTGGGATGACATCTGTGACGGACAGAACGACGAGAAAGAGATTCCCGTGGTCGACGACATGTTTGTCCGTCTTCTCTGGAAATCGCTAGTCAAGTCCGCCGAAGGCTTCTCAGGGGTAGCAGCGTTACCATACCAAGATGCTGGGGAAAGCGACCGCACGACTCGGGCCACGTTGAGATTCGATTCAGAGAGCGAGTTGTTCAACGGACAACCACGGTTCGTGCGAGATGAAGAGGAGCTGCTAGTCTTCATGACGGAGCACATCGGGCGCACAGTCGGGCTCCAAGTGCGCGTGACGGTGCATGGGCTGCAGAAGATGGCGGAGGCAGCGGCGCACGGGCGGCCAGAAGCGTTCCCCTTGCGCGCTGCAGTGGACTTCACGCTGCTCACGCAGGACAAGGACTACAAGGTGTCCATGACGGGCGCGCGTGAGGTAACCAGTGTGATTGTGGACGCGCATGGGAAGTTTGCCGGCATCGTCGAAGTGTCCGGGGCGGCGTTCGTGTGCATGGTGGGTGATCCGTGGGCGGCGTGCGCGCAGCCGTTCAATGAGAGCGGGGTGGCGATCGGGATCGGGCAGCTGTCTCAGGCGAACATGACGTATTTGTCAATGTCCCCGGCTTCCACGGGCTTCAGCGAAGCGAACCTGACATCGAGCCGGCTGCGAGAGTCGCTATTCAACTACGTGCTGCTCAGCGGCATCGGGCCAGAGAGGCAGCTCGGGGTGGAGCCGAAGTACGGCGTGACGGGGGATCCGACGGGGCGTGGGTACCGATGGGGCGGCGAGAACGTGGTGATCCCTGTGCGGAGGGGAACATCAGAGTACGCCGAATGCACATCAGTGAAGTCGGCAGCGGCTGTGACGGGGGTGTTCCACCTGGGCGTGTGCGTGTTCGCAGCGCTGTACGCGGGCGTGCTCGCGGCGGGTTGGGCGGTGCGAAGGCACGCGAGGATCGACGTGCGAGGCATGCTGGGACGCGCGCAGGACGAGCTGGCGGGGGGCGCGGGAGGGCAGGGCGCGGTGCGGGAGGTGGGGGTGTACACGGCGGAGTGGGCCCGGGGGGTGAAGCTGTTGGGCACGCTGCCGGGCGGGGTGGAGGCGGAGCACGTGCTCGAGGGGGACGTGGTTTGGTGGGCCGGGGGTGGGAAAGTCGAGATGTCGGCGAACGGGCAGCAGGGGGAGATGAGCGGCGCGACTAAAGTTGGGTTTTGGACTAAGTGGCTAGCGGCGACTTAGAAAGCGGTGGAATGTGGAGTGGGGTTGAATGGATTGAGGGGAAGAGGAGGGAACGGGGATGCTCTGGTGAGCTGTTTATGGAACGGTGCGCAAGGTGGGGAGCGCGAGGGCTGTTGGAGGCGTCGGGGATTTAGCGTTCCGAGGAGGAGCCGGTACAGAATGGCGGAATGTAATATTATACGGGGAGGACGGGGAAGGTAAGAGCTCGGAAGAGCATGGTAGCGCCAGGCGTTATAAAGTAGGCGGGGTTGACGATGACGGCAGAGGAGGGGAGCGGATCAGAGCAAGTGGGCTGAGTTCCTGACATCAGGCCCTGTCAACAGAAGACAACGTCCAGATATTTCCGTCCTTGCTGGCATGCGGTCTCCCACCGCACTGTTGCGGCTGCTTGTTCTTGTTTACATATGATATTGTTACCCTCGGGTACAACAAACAGGCGGGTCGCGGCGCGTAATGTTACCCTTCTGCCTTGGGTAGTGCCTGCGCACCAGCACGTCTTGCTTCGTCCATCAATACCCTTCCCGCCCCCATCTAGCACTCTCACCCGCCGTCATCCGCCGCCGCGCTCCCCCTGCCAGAATAATAATACGCCACCTGGTGCCGCCCGGCCCCACCTACGCGCGTCGCCAAACACATGGTGTACGCGCCCATGTCAGCAAACCGTACCCAGTCCCCCTGCGCCAGCCCGCAAGGAAGCATGCACCTGTTCGCGATGGCGTCTCCTGCGGCCCGACTGGCTCCGCGCACCTCCCACTCCGCCAAGTCCCCTTGCACGTCCCCAGCAGCGCTTGCCTGAAACTCCTGGTCGAGCAGCCAAGCGTCGCGGAACGACCCATGCACGCCGTCCGCGACCACACACCACCGCGCCCCGTCGCGCCGGCCTGTCTGCACGACCTGCACGGCGAGCGTGTATGCCGTCGCGACGAAGTAGCGCCCGGGCTCCGCGATCACCTGTGTGTCCGCGTCGAAGAGCTCCTGCACGCCTTGCCGCACGCCGCTTGCGATGTCTGCGAACGCGGCCGCGCCGTTGGCCCCGTCGCGCCCGGGGAACCCGCCGCCGATGTCGAGCACGGAGAGCCGCGGCAGCCCCGCGTCGCGCGCGGCGTCGAACACGCGGCGCGCCGCGCCCAGCGCGCGCGTGTACGCGGCCGCGTCGCGGCAGCCGGAGCCGACGTGGAATGCCACGCCGACGAGCGTGGCATCGCTGCCGCGCACGGCGGCGAGGATGGCCGCCACTTCCGACGCAAGCGCGCCGAACTTGGAGGAGAGCGGGCACGCCGAGTCCGAGTCGTCCACGGCGATGCGGAGCAGGACGCGAGCCAGCGGGTGGTGGAGAGCGACCTTGTGCACCTCGTCCACTGCATCGACTGTCACGAGGTCGATGCCGTGCGAGCGCGCGTAGGACAGCTCCGAGGGCGCCTTGAACGGGTTGGCGAAGATCGTACGCGCGGAAAGGGGGGCGGGGACTAGCGTGGAGATGAGCGAGATCTCGTGCGAGGACGCCACGTCGAAGGAGACGTGAAGGCGAGCGAGGAAGGAGAGGAGCACGGCGTCCGAGTTGCACTTTACCGCGTAGTAGGGCGTGATGCCGGGGAGAAGCGTGCGGAAGGTGTGCACTTGCCGTGCGACGGTGGACAGGTCGCACAAGTAGAGCGCGGGGGGAAGGTAAGTGGATGAGGGGGGCCGGTGAGAGTGGAGAGGCTGCGAGTACGCGGCCGTCGCCGCCGCCGCCAGAGCGTAGGTGTCCGGGTATGTCATCTTGAGCGGAGGATGTGGAGTGGCGGTGCTCTAGCTACACTAGTGTGATGGTGGAGCGAAGGTACAGTAGCTGGGTTTTCAGAGCCGATGGGTTTCAAATCGTGCAGCGATCCCGACGTCTCCTAGGGACGTTCCCCCAACGCCGTCATCCCATGTCCGATCTGTTCTCACACCGATCGACCGATCAACGCACCTCCCTCTCGTGGGGGTTACCGTAAGTCTGGGGGTAAAGTCATCCATGCTTTACCATAGTGACAGCTCTTCACACTTTCAAATCGCATGGCAGAATTCTTTTGTGCTTGAAGGAAGAGTGAATCATGCGGCAATTTGTTTGGTGCGTGTTCATCATCATGGCCGCCAGACTTCATCAAATCCTTCAAGCCTTACTCTGTACTACCGTACCGTACATACGCACTTGCGCGATGAATCTGTGAGAATGCGACGCATTCTAAAACGTCAATGAGTCAGCCTATTGCTTGTCGGCTTCCGCTATGAGGTTTTGAAGACCTTCCGTTACCGCGTCCAAAAGCCCTCCGACCATGCGCCGGTCACGCGCTCCCCAAGCTCTTCGATGCTCCGTGTCAGTAATCTTTACTTCCATCAAATCGGCAAGCTCTGTGAGGTAACGCGACACATCTGTCACCGGGAAGTTCTTCTGACGCTCCTCGCTAAAGAAACCTTCATTGCGAAAAACGTCTTCTCCATCTTCTCCGCGGATTGAGAAAAAAGCGAGGTTGCGACAGTCTGCAACACTCCATCTGTGAAAAAAGGCAACAATCTCAGGTGGATTGCGACCTTTTCTCATGTCTTCTCTTCTTCTGTCCATGAAACAGCGCAGCTCATGCATGGTCCATTTGCTCGCCACAAATTCTGGGGAGAGAACGAATACTCCTACCATCGCATGCTTCATCCCCGCCATACGAGAGTCGGAGATCTGGTCGCCTGAGCGCGATCTTCCGCTGTCAAGAAAACTTTTAATTCTTCGCTGCTTAAGGTAATCATGCAACGGCTTCGCTGCCTTCTCCTTGTTAGCAGAGGCATGGCTTATGAACACAGTATATCGATGCGCAGTCTCAGAATCGATCTTGGTGGCCTCTCCTGAAGCATCCAGGTTGGCAAGACTTTTGGCAAGTTCATGAACGGATGTGGGTGATAGTGACGCATCCTTCTCCGAGACTGCTGGGTTTTCAAACCGAATTAGCGCCGTTGCATCAGAGTCTACTTTCAGCACAACTTGACTGCGGTCTCCCCAGTCTCCTAACCAAAAGTGAACCTTTGCATGCAATATTTCGATGTGCGGGCAACGGTCCATTCCTTGATCGTTCAGAAATTTCGCATCTTCTCCGCAAAGCTCGACGCAGATTGGCCTGCTGGTCAACAATTCTGTAACAGTAATCTTGAGGCTTGGAATTCCACCAGAGTTGACGAGTCGACCTTTGCTGGTCACCGCGCCCTGGCAGTCGCAGCGAGCACCAGCGTCAAGTTCTCTGATTTCTGCAACCGTGGCAAAGAACGGACCGAGACGATGAGGGGGTCGAGACAGAGTCAGGGAGAAGGGCACCTCAGATTCTTGCGTCTTGGCGAGTGGTTCCGATGGAGAGTCGGACGCAGACTCGCTTATTTTCGTGTACGAATTCCCATCACTTTGGAGTGGTATAAAAATAGGGGTTCCTTCGGCTTTGACATTGGCGACGTTTCCGGGGGTTTGGAATTCTTGTATTTGTTGGAGTGCTTGAGCCTGGAGTGCTTGAGCCTGCCTGAGGATTTGAGATGCTGGAGTCTGTCCGATAGTTTGAGGCACTTGGAATTCTCCTAATTCTCTTTTGACAGGTACTTGTCGCAGTTCCTCGACTTGTACGGGCATGAAAGTCTGATTGAGCAAACTTTCCCAAGGCTTAACGTCTTCTATTGTCGGAATCTCTTTGATACACTCTGCAGAGGTGATGTTAATTTCAAAGTGGTTGAAATCACAAAACCTAGAGTTCGCTCTGCGAACGTTTGCACAACAGCAATCGACTTCGTACGTGGCATCTAGACGAACAATTTCGTCAACAGGATCGGCAGCATCGCCGAAAGCTGTGAGGCGAATTCGGGCGGAATCATCCTCAAGTTCGAAACATGAAAGCGTACCAGGACCGTAGTTGTTTCTGTAGTGGTTCAGGGGGCGTTTCTTGACACAGCGAGCGCGAATGGTCCAGCTGTCCAGAGCGAAGTTGATAGCGGAAATGGGCGTCATGAAGGTTTAGGAATAGTTTACAATCAGAATGAGACTGGGATCTGATTGACGAGGGCGGGCAGACTGCAAAGTAAGGTGCGGAGGAGCGGGGAGTGAGGATGGCTACATGAGACCGGGTCGTTTTAAAGAGTTCTCCTTTCAGGTATACAAGGCTCTTTATTGTTGTAGAGGAAGAGTCGCCAGGCAAATTCGTACTGTATGTATTCGATGGGCGATCCAGTAGGATGAAAGCCACTGTCAGAAATGTGCTACATTCCCATAGGATCTCCTATCTTTTCTTGACTGAAGTCTTGGCCACAGTGTTGCAACGTGCACTGTGGCCAGCAACCATGTGCAACACTGTACAATCCTGATGACCAACTAGGTGACAAAGATGGACACCGCTCTGGTGTCAACAGAGAAGAGTGACATATTCAGGTGCATGAACGGGATGCAGGCCACCTCATGAGTGCCTCGTGGAGTTCTTGACGGGTCAGACAGCACAAGTGATCTGGATTGAAGCACCGCGTGTCTCTCCAACAACGAAGTGTCGTTCTATAGCTGTATATGAAGGACGTTGCAGGGCAGGTGTCATGCGTGGTGATTTTATTCAACTGGTCTGCCCCAAAGCTTGACGGGAAGGAGATGGATCCTCCTAAAGTACATGTAAGGTTTCCAAAACGGCTGTCAACACCTAACGTCCCCGCAGGGAGAGGGTAACACATGCACGCGTGGTCACCTCATTCCAACAGGACAGTGTCTATTGTCCATGCAGGCTCAAGAATACACACACGACAACCCTTCAGCTTTTCTTACCACAACCGCCACCAAGCCATCCTAAACCGCATGCGCCTCGGGCAACTACCGCTCGACTCTGTGGCTTCACGTAGGACGTCTCTTGCAACCCGGCAAGCCGCACACATCGCTGTGCCCCCGGCGCGTGCTCGCGCTTTAGCAGGCATGTCAGAGATCACACGACGCCATCGTCGCCCACTCGCTGAGGGGGGGGGGGGGGGGGGGGGGATTAAAC